CGCCTTGAGAGCTGGCTGCGGGCGCGCAGGGGCCCGGCCCGGCCCTTCCTGGAGGCCGCGTCCTCAGGAGCGCTCCGCAGAGCTGTCTTCCGAAAATGCGGTTGGCAAGGCGTAGACTTTGTTTTTGGAAGCAAAACAGTGCAGTTCTTTAAAGGTTTTTCCACTGTGGTTTTTTTAGGCACAAGTTTCAGGGGTGACCCGCCGGGGCTGGGAGCTTGGCGTTCCCGGGGAGGAGAGTGTGGGCCCCCCCGCCGCCGTCCAGCCGCGGGCCGTGCTCTCCCGGAGACGCGGCTCTGCTGCGGACGTGCTCGCTGAGGGCTGCGCCCGGTCCCGGCTGAGCGGCCTGAGGCTCCTGCGGGCCGGGCGCTCAGTGCAGGGAGGTGGTTGAGGGCCGCCGGCAGAGGCGGGGAGTCCTGAGGCGGGGGCGCAGCCTGCGCCGGAGGAGGCGGGGAAGGCGGGCTCCTCCTCGGGCGAGGGGAGACGGGGTGTGTGTGGGGGGCGCAGCTGAGGCCGACTTCTGACGGCTCCTCGCAAGGCCTGCTGCTGCCCGTCTGGTGGTCGAGGATGCGGTGGAGTGGGGTCTAAGGTCCCTTTCGGTCCTGATGTGAGCAGCATTATTACAACTGAGAAACTGGGGTAGCAGAAGCCTGGCCTCTGTTCTTCCGGCCTTCCTAAGGTCTCCTGGGCACTTAGGGTATCAGGTGTGGGAGCTAGGGTGGAGAGCACCCCAAGCCAGGCCTGCGCGTGGGCTGGTGGAAAGACCTCCGTGAGCAGGGTAGGTCTGTCGGGGGTTGTGTGAAGGTGGGGCTGCAGCCAGGGGGGAGGTGGGTACTGGCCTTTTAGAAGGCTTTACCCCAGAGCCTCAGGTGAGGGGCTGAGGTCCGACTTACACAGGGGTCCTCATACATATTTAAAGCAGGTTCCTTAAAGGTGGGGTTTTGAGAAATTTATAAGAAAAATAATAGCCTTATTTGATGATGTCAGAACCTTAGGTGTTAAATCTATTATAGCTTAATTGAATCCATTCACATAATCTATTCAGCTGTGACGTTTCGGGTGCAAACTGCCATTTGAAGTCTGGAGATGGGAGACCTAGTATGTCCTGTCAGACCAGTCTGGAGTTTTCTGGGGGTCCACTCTGATCTCAGCTTCCCGAGGGCCTGTGCACAGGTGGGGACGTCTGAGGCTCCGCGGCAGGTTCTCGCTTCCACACCTCAGGTTCGGCTGCGTCCTTCTTGTGTCCAGTGGGAGGCTAGCTGGGGTTGACTGGAGGTGTGTGAGCAGATCCAGAAGGGATCCTTGGGATTCCGTCACGGTCTGTGGCTGTAGGGGACATGGACATGACCGCTCCACGGGCTTGTTGTGTGCCTGTCACTGGGACATGAAGACTCACCTTATCCAGGAAAGATGGAGGACTGGTCAGTGAGGGCACAGAGGAGAGGGAGTGGCTGTTGGGGTTGTGTGTGTGAAACTGGCTCATTAAGAGGTGGGTGTCGGTGGGTTTTAAGAAGTGACGTTGGTGTCTGGGACAGCCTGGAGTGGGAAGCTGTTTGAGTGGGAGGTCACTAGGCAAGAGTGTGTGCAGCCCCCGTGGGAGTTCTGAGAAAGGAGGGTCAGTTGGACACTGGGGTCCTGGCTTCCCTGTCAGTGTTTGGACCTGGAACGCTTCCATCTTGCTTCTGGACTGGCTGACTGGCCGGACCCTGGGAGTCAGTCCCACGGAGTGCTCGCCCTTCCCACCTGTCAGGCCCGCTGGGTGGACGTGCTGCTCTGACACTGCTCAATGGAAAGGCTTTTTTTCTTCCTTGCCTTCATCATTAAAATGTGCAGATTAGAATTTTTTGGACACAAATTCTGACTAAATAAATAGTCTTGGCCAGTTTGTCTCTGGCTTCCCCTTTGGTCTCAGGCTGCATCTGTGTGTCGGGTGGAACTCGGCCCCACAGAGGCTCAGGCCTGTGGGGTTGTAGCACTTTCCCATGTGGCTCAAGCCCTGCATCCAGAGATTTCTAAGATCCTGAAGTGCTGCTGGTCCACTGCCTCTAGTCTTCTGACACACCTCTGGTTGCCACGAGCTCTCTTCCTAGCTCCTGCACCCTGCGTGTCATGAGGGGGGTGCTCTGTTAGTGCTTTCGGTTCTCCCACTTCTGACCCATGCCTGACCCCCATCATTAAGTCTAGCTCAATGCACCTTGTCCTGCATATGTGGCATTTTGCCTAAAGCAGAAGTAACTGACCTGGCAGCCTCCCTATCCCAAAGTCCCCCAAGGCAAGGTGACCCACACCCTCTTAATTCATAGAGTAGCTCTTGGCTCTCCCCAGACAGCCTTGGAAAGTTCCTTCCAGCCCTGCTGCTCTCAGGCCTGGTTTCTAAAGCTCAGTGGATTAGAAGGAACCAGGGGCTTCTAATGACAGTGACTCAGTCACCCTTAAGAGCTCAGAGGCCCTTTCCACATTCTAGTCCACACCGTAGTGCAGTGTCAGAAGGACCTTTTGCCCTGTGGCTCAATTTTCAGAGATTGACAGGGGCATTGGGAAATGTTCATAACCATGCAGAACAAACCATCAACTTTGTGGGGATTTTACTTGAAAGCAGTTACGCTTAAAAAAGTTTTGGCTTTTTGGGGATCACTCCTTCAGGGTCCCTGGGAGACTTGTCCTCTAAAAGTTCTGGGTAGTTCAGGCTTTTCTGTAATATGTTTTGTTTGAAGCTAATGGCCAAAGAGTAGAGCTTCCATTTTTTTCCCCCAAGAGAATTGCCTAAATGCTGTTTTGACCCTTTCTGGTTGGGAGGTAAAAGGATCTGTTGTGTACAATGCAGATAAATGACTTTTCTCTGCTTTTCTCTTGCTCCCTCCCTCTTCCTGCCCCACACCAGCAAAAGCTGGCAGGCTGACACAGGTGGCCTCAGGACGGACTTTCTGGCTACTGACCGTTTTGCTGGTAAGTTGGACTGTCCTATCTGAATGCTTTCTGTCCGGGGCTGTGTGTGCACTTTCTTCTGTTACATGTCATCCTGAAGTTTCTAGTGGCTCTTGAGAGGAACAGGTCCCGCAGGAGCAGTGTGTACGCACGTGCCCTCAGGTGTGTCTTCGGCATCCATCTATTTTTAGTCTTTTTTCCTTAAGTGTGAATTATGTTTGCTCAGGATTATCTGAGTTTGCACATCGATTATCTTTAATGCAGAGCTTAATTTTCCTGAACTTGGAGAGAGGTCTAAGTTGTAAAAATTATGCAGAAATTCACTCTTGTAATTAAATTATTTGACCCTCTTGTCCTTTCCTGCCAAGGTGGTACAGGACACTGGGTACATAATTGTGAGAAGAGGGGTTCTTCCTCGTTGTAGTAGCGTGGGGCTCACCTGGAGTTGGGGGAGGAAGCTAACACCCTTGGCCTCAGTGTCCATTTTCCAAATAAGGGAGCCGTGGTTTTGAGAGCCAGGGTCCGTCCCATGGAGACCCACTGAGTACCACAGCTCGGGGGTGGGGTACAGTTCCTGCCCCACCTGAGGAACTGTGTGCCCTTGTGCCAGGTTCTACCTGGACAAGTCCCCTCCCACACCTGGGCGATGGGATGTTAGAAAATGACCAATTGGCACATATCAGAGGCACTGGATCGCCCCTCTGGGCAGTCCCTGCTACCTTTTGCTACTACATTGTTGCCACAGAGTACGGTAAGGCTGCTCTCCTGCCTGCTGGCTAGTCCCCTCAGCATTGAGGACTGTTCAGTTCACCGGGCCTTAGATGAGAGCCTGGCCTCTGCTGCTTGATGGGCTTTTTGGTAGTAGCTGTCATGTGGTACATTTTATGAGCGTCAGGAGGCACCTGGGCTAACAGATGGACAGAAGAACTGAGATAGCTCTTTGGAGAACCTTCCAAATGTTGACCTGTACCACCAGGGCCCAGTGTGGTGGTTTCCAGTCAGCCCGGTGGGTGGGGTGTAGACTGTCTCAGAGGACCCTGGCACCCTGGTGCCGATCCTCTCAGCCAGAGCCTCCGTCTGCTTAGCTGCAGGGCAGCTTTTGAGGGGACGGTTGTCCAAGGACCCTCCTTGAATTGCACTTCTCTTTTCTTCACTGGGTGAGAGGTTGGGTATCTGTCATCTTATGTTGGAGGGTGTAAGTGGGGAAAGTGGGGTGTAGTTTGCTGGTAAAAGAGAATTAAACCTTGGCTGAAAGCTTAATAGTTTGGGGGATGGCGGAGAGCTGGCTGTGCCTGAGCTCCTCTTCTCATCCTCCTGCAGTGGCTCCCCCGGACCGTGTTGGGCACGCCATCAACCATGAGCTCCGTTGCAGTTTTGACCCAAGAGAGCTTTGCTGAACACCGAAGTGGGCTGGTTCCGCAACAGATCAAAGGTGACAACCTGTACACGGTCTTTTTAACTTCCCCTCCAAGCCCTTTGCAAGTCTGTAGAAGTGCCTTTGACCCTGTAGTTGTGGGGTGGGGCCAGGGACAACCTATTTTGTGCACCCGGTTTTGCGTTGCCCTCGTGTGCAGGGCGGAACTGGCCAGGAGTCGCAGGTGAATCTGGACTCGGTGAGATTTAAAATGTGGACAACTTTCTGGGAAGCTGATGAATTTGACCATTGGTAATTAATGTGATTCTTTTTTGAAAATTGCTGTTCCCAGTTGTGTTCAACTAAATCTGGGCTGTGGACCAGCACCCCAGAGCACTGTCAGAAGCCCACATGGGACTGAAGGCTAGGCCTTGCCTTCTGAGCGCCCTGAAGCAGCTGGCCATGGATGAGAGCACTCCTCCCAGAGGAATGTGTCTAAAACATTGTCATTTTGGCATCTCTTTAATGTAGACAGGAAAAACAATACTTTATTTCTTACAGAATCTGGTCTCCGTTTACAAAAGCAGGACAGCTTGATTTGCATACCATATTTTCATCTGAAACCCTTCATCTGTATTTCAGTTTTATGCAATTTTCACTTGAAAGAGTAGATTATTCTACTCCAAGTTATTCCAAACATTCTTAAGTTTTCTAATAACTGAATCGGGTATCAGGTCTTAAGTTTAAACGAATTAAACTTAAAAATTCACTTTGTCGGTCACTTGGGCCGGGCCCCCTTTCCAGTGCTCATCCATGGGCAGTGGAGACCTGGACACTGCACCAGCTTTGATATGAGTGCCTGCAGGGCCAGGCACTTTCCAGCTGTTGCAGCAGCCCTATGGGGTTCCAGTCGTATCCCTTCCTAGATGAGGGACAGATGCAAGGTAGTGACAGAACCCAAGCGCTGGCCAGCACCATGTCTATTGGGGTTTGGGGATAGCTCATCCTCGCGGCCAGAAGTGGTGACCCTGCAGTTGGATGTAGGCCTGTCTGATCCCAAAGCTCACCTCCCTGCTCTGGGCACACACCCCTATAGCAGGTTTATCAGGCCCTGCCACTGCGACACTGTGCTTGGCCCAGCACCTGGGCTGATCCCAAACAGTCTTGCGCCTGCTTTCACGGAGCTGTTGCTATTGGGACAGGAGTGTGAACAGTGAGGATGGAGCACAGAAGTGGGTAGTGATGAGAGGACCCAATTTCCAGCGCTTGCTGCTCCCTGTGGAGGGTGGAGGTGATGGAACGGCATCCCCACTGGAGTTCTTGCCAACACTGTCCATGACAGAGGCCTTGCCTGGCAACAGTGTTGACTTTGTTCTGCAAATTTTTAAGGGCCAGCTCTGTGCCAGGCATTGTCCTAATTGTAGTTTTAAAAAAATACAGGATTAGAAGACCGGGGGGGTGGGGGGAGCAAGGCCTGCCTTCAAGGGACTCACCCCATCATGGGAGATGGGGTGCCTAGTGTCCGAGCTGACTTTTCACAGGGAGGCTGCCGGGGCGGGGTCCTCACTCTCAGGTTCAGAGCTTGGCCCGTGCAGCCCTCACCCTGAAGCCTTCCCCACCCCTGAATGAGGAGATGGAGCTGCCCCTCCAGCAGTTAGTGTTGTTTTTTGACATTAAGTCTCTAAGTGTGTTTTCATCTAATACTGAAAGCCATGTGCTTGCTCCTAATCTGTGTTGGCTGGTCCAGTTGCCACTTTAAATTCAGAAGAAGAGAGTGACCCTCCAACCTACAAGGATGCCTTCCCCCCACTCCCTGAGAAAGCAGCTTGTTTGGAAAGCGCCCAGGAACCCGCAGGCGCCTGGAGTAACAAGATCCGGCCCATCAAGGCTTCCGTCATCACTCAGGTAGTAGCTTCATTGGGCAGATAGGAGGGCCACACTTCACCTGCCCCTCCCAGGGGGAAGTGGGAGCATCTGGTGGAGACTGCTTGGGGGTATAGAGGGAGTAGGCCTTCAGGTTAAATATGCCCCTACCCCCCAGGGCTGCTCCACAGAGTACACTGTTCCCACGCTCACCTGTGTCCCCAGCACCCAGAAGGAGTGGGCCTCCTGTTTTCCAGCCGACTGTAGTTCTGTCTCTGCTCCAACTCCTGAAATTGCCCCTGCCTTCCACCCTCCCCCATCAGCAGCTCCCACAAGACCTGTCTGTCTTGTCTACTCTGTGTTCCACCATCCTGAAGCAGTCTTCTGCCTTCTGTAGCACCATTTTCCTGGCTACCTTTTCTCTCCACAAGCCCATCTCTACTTGCTGAACCAAGGATGGTGGGTCACGGTTGTTGACTGCTACCTGTGTGCTGAGAGGGCGCCTCTCCAAACCCAGATTCACAACCAGCTTCACCTGGCCTTCCTTCTTGCTATGGGCTTCTCCCAATCTTGTTAACACATGGATTAGTGTGTTAGACTCAGTCCTGTCTCCACAGGGCAGCTGGAGGGCCCAAGTTGGCAGTGAGACATGTCCTCCTGCTGACACCATCTCACCAAAGGCTGGGCCGAGGGGTCTGGCCCCTTCCTTTCTGCCTCTCGCACACCTGCCGTGCTCACACTGCTCCCACACCTGCCTTTGTTAAGCCTTCGCCCTCTCTCTTCCACTCATCACCTCTGATACCACTCAGCTGGCTGTGTCTTGACTCTTAGGAAGGCCCTTCCTGGCCATCCTCAGAACCTCCTTCCACCCGCCCCACCCAGCCACTCAGCTCCCCTCCTCTCCTTTGCTGCCCTCCCTGTCTTTGTGTTGGGTGTCATTGCTCCTTCATTGGAAGTCCAGCCTCCGGACTTGAGGTGCTCTCTGCTCGTCTCTTCCCTGCTATGGGCCATGCGGCCGTGGGGAGAGGGGTGGCTCTTGGTGGATGAACAGATCCAATGTGCAGTGCCCAAACACTCACATGCCGTCTTCCTCCTCCTGATTGCTTGCCCTGCCTTTGCACTGTTGGGGAGCAGGTGTTCCACGTGCCCCTGGAGGAGAGAAGGTACAAAGACATGAACCAGTTTGGGGAAGGAGAGCAAGCGAAGATCTGCCTGGAGATCATGCAGCGGACGGGCGCCCACCTGGAGCTGTCTCTTGCCAAAGACCAGGGCCTCTCTATCATGGTCTCTGGGAAGCTGGACGCCGTCATGAAAGCCCGGAAGGACATTGTTGCCAGGCTGCAGACGCAGGTGGGTGTCCCCTGGCTCGGTCCTCCCGAGTGGGTGACCTCAAACTTCCTCAGGTTCCCACCAGTGGGGCAGGCTCACAGTTCAGAGGTGGGACAGCAACATTTGGAGCCTCCTGGCATTTTTAGTGAAACACCATTAACTCAGTAATAGAACTGGGACATCTCCCATTTGTGCTATTTGGGTGAATGAACTGAAAGTTCAAGGCTGTCCCGGAGTTTGAGACATTTAAAAGAAGCTGAGCTCTCTCGCTTGATGGTGTAGCGGTGATGGTGTGGATGGGCCGTTCCAAGTGCAAACCAGGCACAGATGGGCGAGTTGTTGTTAAGTACACAGCATGGGAAGTTACAGGTTCGAAGTTTGTTTTAAACCAGTTCCATAGTCCTGGGCAGTCCGATACTAGAACTGGGATTTATTTGGAAACTGTTGAAATATGTAGGTAACCTGTGGTGCGTTTCTCCCCAGGGGAGTCCCTGAAAGACCAGGACCCTGTCAGAGTGTCCTCACAGATAGAGCTTTTGTAGATTTACTTAAAACTGGGGGCCTTCCCACATGGTACTGAGCCATGAGCTTGAAGGGGAAGCTCCCCCTAGAACATCTGGTGAAAAGACGGGGGTCAGATGCAGGAGAGGCCTCAGGGCAGAGGCTGGGGGCATAGCTTAGCAGGAGGAGGAGCACTGCCTCAGCCACATGGAGCCTTGGGACAGTCCCTAACCCTGCCAGATTGAGGGAGTTGAATCATCCAGTGCAGGAAGTGGGGACTGTTGTGTGTAAATTGCTTCCTGTTCTGGCTGGTGCGTGGTAACCTCGCAGACTCTGGCTGTTATCTACTAGCTGGCCCGCATCTGACTTTGTGATTGAGTGCTGGGTGGGAGAGGGGACACTTGGAAGGCACTTGTCCCTGACCCACATCATGACCTTAAAGCAAAACCCAGATGCACGTTCACCTATAAATAATTCAGTGCGGTGCCCCTCAATCTTTTGTTTTTTGCATAACCACTTTGCTTTTAACTCACTTATTAATAGTAATTTGTTAACATGCCCGTATCCCTCCCAGTCTGCATGAACTTCCCCCATTGGTGTGTTCAGGCCACTGGCCACGCACTGCCCGCCGTGTGCTTGTCCAGCCTCAAGTCCTTTCATTCTTCATCAGTGCGTCTCCCTACTTTTTTAACGCCCTTGGTTTTTTGGGGGGACAAGCAGGTGTCTGCTTTATTTTACTGTCCGTCGTTATTTCCTGTACACTGGTGGTTATGTCTAGGGGCTTGGTTACTTTCACGTTCAACTCATTTCTTTGGCAAGAAAACTTGTGAGTGGTGCTGTGTACTTAGTGTTGATCCCAAGATCGGTCCATAGACCGAGGTGTCTTCAGCTGGATCTGTCCATTATAAAGTTCCCGATTCATCTCTGCTGTCCTGGCGTCGAGTGTTGCTGGTGGCTGCCTGGCTCCCTCAGGGTGGCACTTTCTTGCCCCCTACCCCGTGTCAGCACGTGCTCTATGGGGAGCTTTCCTCCCGGCAGTTGGGGTGGGAAGGGCAGGTTCTTGTTCCTCCCCATCAGTCTTTAGACTAGTTAGTTGGCCCTTCTTGCCTCTTTTCTGGTGATTCATTATTCTTTTTAGTGTCATTAGGACTTTTTTTTTTTTTTTTAATTTTTTTTATTTTAGAGAGAGAGGAAGGGAGGGGGGAGAGGAAGAGAAACATCATTGTGAAAGGGAAACATCAATAGGCTGCCTCCTCCCGCCCCTACTGGGATTGGAGCTTACAACCTGGGCATGTGCCCTGACCCCGAATCAAACTGGCCGCCTTTTTGGTGCACAGGAGAGTGTGCGACCACTGGGCAACACCAGCCAGGAGGGATGCTTAATGTGTTTCTTAGTCCTTTCAGCTGAAGTCACCTCATCTTCGGCCAGCGGTTGAGTTGGCTTCCTGCAGCTTTCTGGCAGGACCCTCCACCTCCATTAGCTTCCTGACTTCTCATAGACGTGTGGACTGTCCTTCCACAGACCCAAAATCTGCTGTTTGTCCAAGAATCCTCGATGTTTGTAGCTGGAAGTTTCTTGAGTTTCTGACCCTTCTAATTAAGGTGAAGGGTCGTAGGTTTTACAATCCCTTGAAGTCATTTATTTTTAAAAATTACTGAGCCCTGACTGGTGTGGCTCATTTTGTTGTGGGAAGTAACTGATCAGTGTTTCTCTTCGTCTCTGTCTCTCTCCCTCTCCCTCTCCCTCTCAAGTCAAAAAGCGTTTAAAAAAAATTACTTTGCCCAGCCAGGCATGACTCAGCGGTTGAGTGTTGACCTAGGATCCAGGCGATTGGGGTTCGATTCCTGGTCAGGGCACGTGCCCGGGTTGCGGGCTGCCCCCGATCAATGAATCTCATCATTGATGTCTCTCTTTCTCTCTCCCCCTCTCCCTTTCCCTCTCTGAAATGAATAAAAACACATTAAGAAAAAAAAAGTTACTTAAACATCTGGTAGTGGCACAGCCAGGGCTGTGTGAGCAGGTGCATGCAGAGCCCCCTCTTGGCCCTGGCGCGCCCTCCCTGTTTGGGTTGGAGAGGAGGAGTGGAAAGGTAGCTCGCTATCGGTTGCCCTGAGCTGTGCTTTTCCTGGCATCTTATGGAGGTGTCTGTGTGTCTGCACATAGCAGCTTTCCTGGCCCTCCTACAGCTGTGGGGCGCGGTGTGTAGGGAATTGCTCCGGCACTCCTGTTGATGGGTAATTGGGCGGCTGCCCAGCTTCTGCTGTAATGAATCCTGTCACAGGAAACCTGTGCACATGCTGTTTTCTGTTTTACCCAGTGTATCTTGGGGTTGGTTTCCTAGAAGTGAGGTGGCCGGGTCAGCAGTAATGGCAGCTGTGATTTTTGCCGTAACAGCTAGATCCCCCCCGCGGGGCTGTGCCCTCACGCTCCACTGCCTCCCCGCGGCCTCGCCAGGCCCAGCTGGTGCTCGCCCGATTCAGGCTGAGAGGCAGCTGAGTAAGTTCTTATTACATTGTTCTGATGAGCAGCATGGAGCACCTTTCCTCGTCCAAGGGCCTTTTCTTCTCTCTGTGTCCTGTCTTGTCTGTCCTGCCCTTCCCATCAAGTTGAAGTTGTGCACCGTGCGCAGTGAGTGTAGTAGGGCTCCTGAGACCCTTCTCAGTCGTGCGGATCTGCCTTGTGAGAGTTTATTAATCTGTAGTCAGATTGACAGTTTGTTATTTTGTGTCATTGTTGGGAAAGTTTTTTCCACGTCTGTGCTGTAGGTGTTGCACGAATGCCTGTCTGTATTTTCTCTGCTGCTTCTATTTTCTTGCACATTTTTGTCATGAATGGGGTTAAATTTTGTGGAGGTGATCATTTGATTTTTTTCTTCATAGATCTAACAATATGCTAAATTATATAAATGGATTTTCTAACATTGAACCATTTTTTGGAATAAGCCTCGTTTGGTCACAGTGTAGAAGCCAGTGGTCTCAGTTCCTGTGTTAGTATTGCCCCTGTGATACGATTTCCCATTTCTGTCCTGAGTGTGGAATGTTCTGTGTGAAATTGTACCCCTTGCGGGAGAAGGGAAGCTGTGACTTCTTGCTGGGACACTTTGCTTCTGGTTGTGTTTGTTTTGTTTTAAGTTGCTGGCTATTTTCTGTAGAGAGAAAGACTAGAAACCCCCATTTTCCTCTCAGGTTTCTCTGTGACCTCAAGAAGTTTGTTGGGTTTGAGTTGTTTCCATTTTCTTGACTCGGATGAGTTGTCTGTTTGAATTGGTTGTAAAGGAGTTAGGGAGAAACGCTTGTTAACAGAGAACCAGGACTCCAGAAGCAGAACTGAGTCTGGTCAGTCTAGTATGTCCCTGCCCCCACCGTGTCCCAGTGTGGTGTTAGGAGTCGCAACGTGGGAAACCAGTCAGATGTACTTGAATGCCCCTGTCTTCCTGGTGGCTTGTGGCTGGGCCGAGAAGATATTGAACAAAAAATTACCATTAAATGATTGTAGTAGCTGGAAGTGTAATCCAGGGCCGAGGGAATACACCATCCTCAAACATACCCTGGTTGGGGTCAGGTCAGGCGTCCCCAAGGAGGAGATGTTTAACCTGAGACTGCTCTGAAGGATGGTGGGGTTAGCTCGGCAAAAACGGGTGAGAATGGTATTCTAGCCAGTGAGTATCATGGAAAAATGTGGTTTTCAGAACACAGAAGCATGCTGTTTTCTTTGGTTCTCTGCCTGCTGCAGGCCTCAGCAACTGTTGCCATTCCCAAAGAGCATCATCGCTTTGTTATTGGCAAAAATGGAGAGAAACTGCAGGACTTGGAGCTAAAAACTGCAACCAAAATCCAGATCCCACGGCCAGATGACGCGAGTAACCAGATCAGGATCACCGGCACCAAAGAGGGCATCGAGAAAGCTCGCCATGAAGTCCTGCTCATCTCTGCCGAGCAGGTGAGCCCACCTTTGGGCCTGGTGTGTGCAGCAGCCTCAGCCCGGATGCTGGAAGGCCTGTCAGTCCTCAGGCCGTTCCCAGGCCTGTGCTCAGCTTTGTTCTCTTGTTTCCAGGACAAACGCGCTGTAGAGAGGCTGGAAGTGGAGAAGGCCTTCCACCCCTTCATCGCTGGGCCCTACAACCGACTGGTCAGTGAGATCATGCAGGAGACAGGGACACGCATCAACATCCCCCCTCCCAGCGTCAACCGGACAGAGATCGTCTTCACCGGGGAGAAGGAGCAGCTGGCTCAGGCCGTGGCTCGGATCAAGAAGATTTACGAAGAAAAGGTAGTGGTGGGGGGGGAGGGAAACCCCATGGGCAGGAACAGAGGATGGTCAGGGCCAGTGCTGCTCCTTGTCCTTCCGTCCCTGGAGGGGGGCTGAGCTCTATGCTGGAGGCTGTTCCCGCTGCCCACTGCCCCCACTCCTCTGCCCTGGGCTGGGGCTGCTACAGGGCTGGACACACTGCTCACAAGTGGCCACGTCTTTGAGAGGCCATTAGATCCATTTGGTGACTTTGAGGCCTGACACTGGTTCCTCAGCGTGGGGAGAGGACTTGGTATTTTTAGCTTTTCCAGGTTTCAGTGATCAGTCTGAGCTGGACAGATTCTCAGGTGATTCTTCTGAGGAGAAAACCCAACCCTTGATGAGTAGGGTTTGTGGGCTTAGCTGGTCATCATCTCTCCTTCCAAGGACTCCGCAGCTGTAGTCGGGCCCGTGTC